TGGGATCCAGATTCCCCCAGTGTTTGAGGATATTTGGGATCCAGATTCCTCGGATATTTGAGGATATTTGAGATATTTGGGATATTTGGATCCAGATTCCCCCAGTGCCTGTTTGAGGATATTTGGGATATTTGGGATATTTGGGATCCAGATTCCCCCAGTGTTTGAGGATATTTGGGATCCAGATTCCCTGAATGTTTGAGGATATTTGGGATATTTGGGATATTTGGATCCAGATTCCCCCAGTGCCTGTTTGAGGATATTTGGGATATTTGGGATATTTGGATCCAGATTTCCCCATTCACGCTCGCAGCACCGGCTCCTCCAGCTGGAAACCCGCCGTCTCTTTAACATGACAAAGGCAGCCCCAGCCTAAAATGCCCTTCTTGTGTGAGAAGCAGCGTGGAGCAGGATATGGAAAAGATTTCTCACAAAGTAGCTTGTGATTCAGATGGAAAATGTCAGGTTTTGAAAATTATTAATCTTTGTGCCGCACAAAACTGTCAGCTGTAGGGGCGTTCAGTGTGGGAGGTTCCTGCGGGAGAGTATTTCCAAACGGGGTTTTTTTTTGGGGCTGTTTTTCTCCTTTCCCTTTTGTTTTTTTGGGGGATTCTTTTGTTCCTTCCCCCCACGRGGGGCTGAGTAAACAGGATCCCGGTGGGGACAGCGAAGGGAGGTGACAGCAGAGCCAGGGGGTGTCACCACCCCGGGCCTGATTCACTGCAGGAGGAGGGAGCATTGGGGGATAGCGGGGAATGGGTTTAGGAYGGGCTTAAACAACGGCCCGAGGGATTGTTCTGGGTGGGTTTAGCACAAAAATATCATTTTGGGGGAGACGCTGCCCCTGCAGACAAAGTTCTCTTCCCCAATGGCAATAAAATAAAATAAAACTTCAAAATGTGTGAACCCACCATTAAATTTAATTTGTTTTAAAGCGCGGCGAGGCGCGGAAACATCTGCAGATGCAGCCAGTGCGGGATTTTAGGGGAACGGGGAAATCTGGGGTCCTTCTCCTCCGAACCCACATTTAAAATCGGGCAGCGCAGGTTGGAATTTGGCCGTGAATTCCTGACCGTCCTTTTTTTCTGAGAGTCACCCGGAGGAGCAGAAGGCGCTGTCGCGTCCCTCATCTYGCTGTTAATGAGCTCATCAGGGCTTTGAGGCTCAAAGTTGTTGAGAATTGCGCTGTGATGTCTCACTCGGCCACCGAGCGTCCCTGAATCGTAATTCCAGAATTTTATCACTGCTCTCGGGCTCTCAGCGTTGCAATCAAGGCCCCGTTTTTGGAGCGGGGTTTCTGTCGCAACCCGGATTAAACGAAGCTCAATTTCTCTCTGAATTTCTCTTTTTTTTTTCTCCCAAATGAGAGTTTTTCTCTTGTTGTCTCAGTAATTAAGATTAACTGCGGGCAGATCTCCCCGCTCCGGGAACACGGCAGGAATYCACATTAGCAGGTGAAATATGAAGTTTTTAGCACCAGAGGAGCTCCTTTGGGCAGTCCCTTCCTTTCCTCGTCATCCATTTATCCCAAAGTTGAGTTTGGCAGCCCTGGGATGGGATTTATGGTCAGATTTTGGTCCGGGAGGATACCGAGAGTGCACGGCGAGCTCCTGCAGGGAGGGCTGGGCTGGCAGAGCTGCAGTTTTTGGATGGTTTTGGTGCTGGAGTTTCCTGATGGTTTTGGCTCCGGAGTTTTGTGATGGTTTTGTGATTTTTGAAATCTTTTTTCTGATTTTTGTGATGGTTTTGGTGCCGGAGGTTTTTTTATGGTCTTTGTGATTTTTGGAATGGTTTTGGTGCTGGAGTTTCCTGATGGTTTTGGTGCTTGAGTTTTGTGACGTTTTTGGTGATTTTTGTGATGGTTTTAGTGCCTGAGTTTCCTGATGTTTTTTATGATGTTTTGTGATGGTTTTTGTGATTTTTTTTGTGATTTTTGTGATGGTTTTGATGCCGGAGTTTTCTGATGTTTTTTGTGATGTTTTGTGATGGTTTTTGTGATTTTTGTGATGCTTTTAGTGCCAGAGTTTTCTGATGGTTTTTGTGATGGTTTTGATGCCAGTTTGGCAGTTCTCACACTTGGATTATTTGGTTTTTTTTCCCACGTGTGTGTCTGGCAAACACCACAGCCCCTGAGCTCTGCAGGTAAAACCGACCCTAAATAAAACCCAAAGCAAATTTTTCATCTCATCAGTGAAACCAGACAGCACAAAACCCACCAAAAAAAATTGAAAAAAGTCAATTTTTCTTCGATTTCCTTTCAGGAAATGAGAACAGCGAGGCGCTGCCCGAGTCCATCCCCTCAGCCCCGGGGACTCTGCCCCATTTTTTGGAAGAACCGGACGATTCCTACATCATCAAGAGCAACCCCATCGTGCTGCGCTGCCGCGCYGTGCCCGCCATGCAGATTTTCTTCAAGTGCAACGGGGAGTGGGTGCACCAGAACGAGCACACGTCCCACGAGAGCCTGGA